TTTGAAATTAGGCCACAGAGAGTGAATTTACTTTATAATCAATTAAATTAAATATAATTTTTTATAACTGTAAGGTAAATGCTGTTCCATGTCTTTTAGCTGAAAATCACTACATGCATACAAAAGAATTCACATAGTCTACATACTATACACTGCAGAAATAGTAAGAGCAGTATGCAATAGTGAATATAGACTTTTCAATGTGTTTGTGTGCCTGTGAGTTTCCTTATATCTCCATTTGTCTGGAATGTGCAGTTCTGTGTCATTGCTTGGGCTCCCTGGTGGACCAATCCTGGTCCATCTGGAATAGATTAGTGTGCCACATCAAAAGACAGAACTTCACAAGGCTTGCGAACTTCGAATCTCCCTCAGTTCGTTTGTCGGCAGTGTGCTATCCAGAACACATTACTGATAATGGCAGGCCGCTTTCGCAGATCCGTCTGTGTCGATAACACGTCTTGCATTCTTTAAATAACAGATCACAGATCAGCTGAATGAATGGCATGGAATAAATTGCCAGTGACATTTAAGGTGAAATAACTAGCATTCTTCCTGCCTAACAGCGTATGATGAGCCACTTATGTGCATCTGCAGAGTTGAGATTGACACAAGGATGGAGAGGCATGTTGTGTGTGAGTTCAGCCAAGGATGTTTGTGGTTGTGTGCATCTTCATTACGGACCCCTGAAGGGCCTTTGGTCGTGAACCATGTGCACAGATCACAGTGTTAAGTTTGATGGTAATGGTTTAAGCAGTGATCATGGAATCACAAATGACTTCTCTGATGGCTTTCTTGACATTGGACATGAAACTGATTCGTTTTTTTTAAATTCTAATCTAAGGCCCTAAGAAAAGAGTTATCAAAAAAGAGTTTGTTAGGACATTTGGATGTATTTGCTTGTACAGATTAACAGAAAACGATTAGAAATGTTTGATACGTCAAACATGGATTTAATAATGGTTTGTCTTGGTTCTTTATGGGGTAGTTTTACAAAAACCGAGCCTAAGTGTGAGACATTAGCTTTTAGCATTGAATAGCTACAAAGAATATATTTTCTGGTTCATTCCTGACTAGAATCCACATAAGACACGTAAAATAAGTTGTTTTATACACTACTCTGGGCTTTAAAATGAGTTTTTGGACGCAGAAATAGTTCGTAAACTGTCATGGCAACGTTTGGCCTATAAAATGATATTTTTAGCCCTGCCATACCACTGTTACATTCATTTTATAATGAAGTCTGTCAAAAACAAATAATCGTAATTTTAACGGTAAAATGCTACAGTGCAAAACTGTTAATTGGTTAACAGAAAGTTTCCGTACTATATACGGTAAATAACTGTGATATCATTTTACTGTAAAATATCATTAAATTTACAGTTTTTGAAAGTGAAAAAGAACAACTCCTTATAATTTACAGTGAAAAAACACGTAAATTGACATTCCCACAATTCCCTGCGTCACACATTTGATGTATTTTTGTACCTCATTACCTCATGAGTTTCCTCATAATTTTCTTTTTTTTTTTCTAATTAGTTATGTACATTAGGGTTTTATGTTACATTTAATGTTGTTCAATTAATGTTGCATTTTTTTTATTGCAATATTATTGCATTTTTTTAATTTCCCATAATTTCACGCATTTTTTCATTTTAATTTACCATGATGGTATTTAATGTTGCAGCTTCTTTATAATGGAAGACAACTTTTGATGAGCTTTGATTGCTCATGTAACTCTCATCACTACTGTGATGATTGATGGTTGTCAGTGTATTACAATGGTATAAAACAGAAATCAATTTTTCAAAAGGTTGGTATATCAACAGATTTCAGAAAATGAAATACGGTTTATTACTGTAAATTTTAAGTTAAGTCTGTCAAACCATTTAAGTTCCTACCGTATTTTTAACGGTAAAGTTCTGGCAACCACCGTTTTTTACCGTAAAAATAACGTGCAAGGTGATTTATTTTACAGTTTGTTGTTACAAATATCGATCCTTTAAAACAAGACAACACATTTCTTTTTCTTTTTTTTTTCTTTTTATGCTTTCCATGTTGTGTCTGAACAGTTTCAAACGACAATAGAATGAATGGATTTTGGGTTTTGTTTTAAAAACGGATTTGAGCTGGATGTGCCAAACTAAACTCAGTTTTTTGAGCTTGTCTGAATTAAGAGACTAGAAAAGCCAGATTTAAAAATGCAAATTGTGATTCACGGAAGTGTGATTACCATTATCCAGACTCCATTACAATGTCTTTATCAGGTTTTTGTTTTAAATGAAGTAACTGTCATTGTGTTTCGCCAATACCAGCTAATGATCTGCTAATCAGGAATGGGAAAAGCGCTCGTTGAGCATCCCCGCTAGCCGTTGGCTAATCTATCTGAGGGCTGTTTTCCACTGGGTTGCGTACACTCGAATTGGACCAAAAATTCTTAAGTCCATTATCGGCGCAATAAAGAGCTAATGACCCAATGACGGGAATATATTTGCTGTGGCACCCATCTCTGCGAAGAGGCCGAAGGATAAGGAGTCATTAAGACAGCGTTATCTGGTCCAGATAGCATTGGCATGTCTCCGCAGATCATTATTTTCGCCCCTGGAGCCGTTTGCCAAACGAGAAGAGCCGTATGAGCAGAACGGTCGCTCAGACTCTGACGGTCAGCTGCGGTGTGGAGGGGGGAGCCGCTAACGATACGTGCCCTGGCAGATAATTCTCTTTCTAAATGCCCCAAATGACTATTTTACGAAAGAATCTTGCATTCGATTTGCTTTAGTCTGCTTTCTGTTTGCTAGAGGTTTGAGGGCGAGATGTTTCTCTGCTACACACACATTTGATTCTTTTGTGGAGCACAGGTCTTAAACAAATGCCCCTGTGAATAGCCTTGATAAAACAATAACAGTATATTAAATGAGACGGTTTGTGCTGTCTCCCTGAGAGTGTTTTTCTAAGTCTCTCAGAGTATTAAGATGTGATGAAAGAAGCCATAGTTACATAAAGAAGTACAGCACTGCAAGGCGAGAAATACTATCACTGTAAAGTCAGGAATGACCACAGAGTTACCGCTAATAGAAGGGTTTCATCGTATCTTCCTTCAAACACTTCGCCATATGAGACAATTACCGTAAATTAGCCAAGTAGATCCCCTAGTTCCTTTAGACTGGATTGTTATCTAGCGAGGTTTCAGAGCCGTCTCTGCTTTTATGGAAGGACTTAACAGCTTGAGTCTAATCAAAGCCATTTTTCCCTCTGTGTTTCAGGCTAAAGAAATTCAATTAGTTTAATTGGTCTGCTTATTATAGGCTGTAATGTGATGCGAGTGCCGCTGTTGTCAAACTTCACAGGGCTACTTTAAACAGCCTCCTTAATTAGAGCGAGAACTTTAATCTCAGTGTTTTGAATTGTACAGTGAAGAGGATCTTCAAGCAATATTCTGGCTTTGCTTGCAAAGCAAACTACAGAAGCTTTTAAATGGCTCGAGCGCTGGCCTTAGTCATACAATTGCATTGGTTTTTAGGCAGACGAGATTGCTAGTTAGTCACACGACTCCCTGGAATACTCCATTCTGATGTTTGTGTACTAATGACCATTGATATGTATAACTTATGTTTCAGGCAACTGATTTATAAAGTAGCTTAATGTCTCAAAGCAATATCATACTTGAAGCTGCATTTTTTTAAAAAAAAATCTCAGCACAATATTCATCATGATATTTATAACAATAGTCCTCTTACTTTTTAAATTTCTTAAAGGTACACTATGTAATTTCGTCCCTCTAAAAAAACAGGAGAACATTCTTCTGGTCGTGCTTCGGCTTTGCATGACTGTGCGGATGAATATTATTCTACTGCTCATAAAACATTCTCCACTAGGTTTATATAACCAGTTTAGATGGAAATCAAATTTAGATGGACTATAGTTGCCCACATGTTGCACATTTAAAATCCCTACGCATTTTTGCGCCAAAAGCATCCTGCTCTGTCTAAAAATATGAACACTTATAAGGGGCTAACCGTAGTATTAAGACAAAAACATGTTTCGGAAGGATTGGTGTATTTGACTCATTATTTAAACTTTGTTAATTTTGAACAAACAAAACTTGTTTGTTCACAACACTATGTATGTAACAGTGCACCTTTAAATAAACCCACTCAAGAGCCCCCGCTTGTTTTAGGGCCTTAATCACCAAGTAAAGGTTAATTTTGACATTAGTCATTACCTTTAAACGTCGCTGTTAAACACACAGCTGTTTTTAGCTGGACTGGTGGATCCATTTCCTTCTCACTCGCCCACTTTTCCTTTCCGCAGACTAAAGGGGAGGAAAGGGGCATTTTTGAGGGGCAATGACAACTAAATGGATGACAAAATGACAAATTGCACTTATGATCAATCACAAAACCGGAAGTGTAGCATGGTCTGGTGGATAGGCTAATGGAGTAGAGACCTGAAGGTTCACCACTGGATGCTCGGCATCTACAGTTGTGCCCTTGAGAGAGGCACTTAACCCAAATTGCTTCAGTAAACACTCCGTCTTAGAAATGACAGTGTATGCAAACTGGCCCATTGAAAGAGAGAGATGGCATCCTCTAAAAATCTTTTTTCATAGGTTTTGGTGTATCGTGACGTTTTTAATGGCACAAATCCCATGCATTTTTGTTGTGAGAGAACTTGATATGTTTGGTAAACCATTAATATTAGATGCTATCTGCATACTCTCCATAAAATGGGGAGTATGTTCCATCATTTTAACCATTCAATCCGATTATCCAAGTTATATAAATAAAAATCAAACAAATATTTGTCTTTAATTACTTTTAATAAAATATGTACTGCATATTTTAAATGTAATTAAATATTTTAATAAAAAAAATGGCAAAAACAAACAAACAAAATCTTTACTTAAGCCCTTCAGTTTCTATTTTGTACCATTTGTGGAAAGTGCCAAATGCTTTTTGTGAAAAAACAAACAAACAAAAGACTCAAAGAAAGCCACCACACAGTGCTAACACAATAAAACTGTATTACATTTGTGCTTAAAATGATTACAGTACAGTATGTACACGTCCTAAAAATAAACATCTCATGCTGAATAACACATAAAAAGAAAATCCATATACAATAGCAAGCAAAAAGGATTTTTTTTTTAAAATATGTACAACCACCATATACAAATTAAGTTTGTCCTCATATTTTCTCTAGACTATGCCCTCGGTTTCCAAAGGTAATCATAGCCTATAAAAAGATTATCAACATTGTAGGCTTCAGTAGTGATTTGCGCTTGAGTGTCGCCTTGAATCGATAGTAAACAAACAAATATCCTCCGACCAGGTATTCACGTGCTCCTAGTTTATGCGACCTGATTATGTTTAAAGAGGATTATGTCAGCTGATGGGCCGCACAAAAAAATACGATGTGACGTTCGTCAAGTCTGGAGGAGCCTTTCAGTTCAAGTATAAACATGTCAATGGACAGAGCCTTGAATTACGCGCAATGATGAAAAGCCTATTAAATAAATACAGTGAAGACAGTAACAAACCCATCGTTTCCCAACCCACCAAACCACATTACATATGTGCCAAACCCAAATGTTCCTAGAGTTCGCATTTTGAGGTATAAAAGAGGGTGATTTTTTTTTTCTCTTCAAAATGTCACTAATGAAATCACGTCACTTGATGTTAAAGATGTCGAATCCCAAAGATTGCTAGTAAATGCGAACACCATGTTTTAACCAGGTGCAATTTTGTGAATCTTTCGCCAAGCTGTCCTAAACAGCCAGGACATTTAATATCTGTGCCATTTGTGCTTGGTAGCACTGTGAAACCTCATTGGTTCCCGGACATGTACACAAACATCAAATTTCTTCTTATTGGTTTATTGTGTTTATTCCAAATAGCTTGTCGCTGGTTAAGACGCAATGTAAACGAAAAACAAATTGTAATCGAAAGGACAGTGAGGAAACTCATTCAACCTGAGTAATTATGTTGACATGGCCCCTTTTCTTCTCGCAAACTTGTTCGCCAATAAATACTGATTTTTTTTTAAATATATATTTAAACTATGTGGTCTTCACCCTGTAAAGCAATTAAAATGGCATCATTGTGTTTTGGACAGATGTCTTGCAGTGGATTGTATGTTTGTGTTCTCAAACTCGGGCCATTGAGACTTTGAGCCGCCAGGCAGCGTCATTTTAACAGAACCAGAGTATTGGTTCGTCTTCAAATGTTCTCCCCCTTACAAAAAAATGTCTCTATGGCTAATCTGTACAGTACACCATCCCTTATTTGGGCTCTTCGTATATACAATGTGATGGGGTCTTGGGCTGGAGAGGACACTAGAGCTTTTGTGTCTGATTGCATGTCCCCTTCAGGTCCTCTCGCAACTCATTCCCCAACTGCAAACGGTGGGGTAGTGGGGATGGTCAGCGGACCTGCGGTGCATAACCCTCCTTCATCAGTCCTTCTTCGTAGTCTGTCTGGCACAGGATCATGTTGTTCTTCAGGAAGAACTTGTCTCCGACGCAGAACCTGCATGGAGGCGAGAAACAGAAACATGGTGTTTACGTAACTCGAAAGGGACGCAGAAGGACTCATTACTAGCAAAAGTTGCAGGCTTCCCCACAGAGCCGCATTCCGCCCCCTCAAACATTAGCGTACATTATCCTGCGGACACATCAGCTGGTCTGGAAAGAGTATCTCCAGAGTGCACCTAGCATCTTCTCTACCTGCAGCTGTTTCATAAATATACCCCAAAGACGGAGCGCAGGCTTTAGCACTGCCTGACGGGCCGCTGTCTCACTTGACCTTTTGGAAAGAAGATTATGTTGGTCAGGCAGAAGAGAGAGACAAAGAAGGCGGCGGAGGGAACGAGAGCGAGAGCGAGTAGCTCTGTGTGTTTAGCCGTCCTGAGGGCCGCTTATCTTGCTCACAGCGAGAGTTCGACAAGGTCGGAGTGCCAACGAATGCTCGTGTCTGGCCAATGTTGCCTACAGAACCCTCCTGCCTGTGAACGAAGAGGAATACAATGCGTTTTGAGTGTCTTCTGGTACCATTTTAATGATTAAAAGTTTGCATTGGGAATGCAACGTTAGGTGGACATTAGACGCTGTCTTAAAGGAATTGTAAGAGAGGTTCATTACAAGTCGGCATGAAATGTAAAATCAATTTTCTAAATGAACTATTGATCTTATTGTGAACGATTCATTTATGCATGCTTAATTTATTAAAATTAGCCTTCACCTCGTAATTTTTCAGAGTTATGACTTTAGAGAGTTCTTCTAGCATTTTGTTCTGATTCATAATCAAAACCGGAATATTAGCAATAACCCAGTCGTGCACGGCAGTAATACCATTGTATACCGGAAGTAAACAAAAAGTAGAGGTTACAGTGTTGTAGTCGAGACTAGCTCACGAGTCCGAGTCGAGACCAAGACCATAGAGTGTTGAGTCCGAGTCGATGTCGAGACCGAGACCAAAGGGGTTGAGTCTGAGTCGAGACCGAGACCATAGAGGGTCGAGTCCGAGTTTAGACCGAGATCAAAGAGAGTCGAGTCCGAGTCGAGACCGAGACCAAAGAGAGCCGAGACCGAGACCATAGAGGGTCGAGCCCGAGTCGAGACGGAGACCATAGAGGGTCAAGTCTGAGTCGAGACCGAGACCATAGAGGGTCGAGTCCGAGTCGAGACCGAGACCATAGAGCGTCGAGTCCGAGTTGAGACCGAGACCATAGAGGGTCGAGTCCGAGTCGAGACCATAGAGGGTCAAGTCTGAGTCGAGACCGAGACCATAGAGGGTCGAGTCCGATTCGAGACCATAGAGCGTCGAGACCGAGACCATAGAGGGTCGAGTCCGAATCGAGACCTAGACCAAAGAAAGTCGAGTCCGAGTCGAGATCAGAGAGGTTGAATAACCTAAGGTTGGGTCTCAAACCAGACTAAAATATAGTTCTAAGAATATGTAAAATATTTGGTGGTAACAATAAAATTGGCACCATACTCAAACAGTAAACCAAATATACCATGGAATCATGTACATTGTAATTTTATTATAATTATGACTTACAATTATTACAATCAGTAAGTGCTCTTTCACATAATATTACTGCACACGAATTCTGTGTGGCTCTTATATGCAAACTGAATTATGGATGATAAGGCAGACATTTTCAATACATAGTTGAGCTAGAGGCTCCACATCTGACCTGGGTTCTGCTGCATTTGTGCGCCGCGAACATTATAGTCTCAAGTAATGCACAGTTGCTCACAAGAAAGTCAGCAATCATTGGACGTTTCAATCAAACAATTTAAAAAAATATTAACATACAGTAATAATCATGACATATTGAATGGGACTCGAGTGGACTCAGGAATAAGTCCAAGTCCTAATATGTTAGAGTACGAGTCAATTCCGCGTCAAAATGCACACGAGTCCATGACAAGACCAAGACCATTAAAATATGATCTCGAGTCCAAATCTCGACTACACAACACTGAGAGGTAAACATGGCGAGATGCAGCACAGCACTATACATTTGGAGCGAGAGGAAACCAATTTCTTGCAATGTTGCTGCTGCCGTTATTGTTGTCTTTGGATACTTTGGACTTTAGTAGCGTTTTTTTTTTCTCATACTAAAATAATTTTGTTTATATGTTTTGGCTATACCATTAAAACTTTTAACATTTACGGATTGACCCTATTGACTTCCGTTGTTAACCCAGATTTTTTTTTAAAAGGTAATCAGAATTGTGCCACGCGTGAGGCTCTTCACTTGTGTTGAACCCGCAATATTCCTTTAAACATCCTCAGGAGGGGTCAGAACCAGATCTGAGAGCCATTACCCTTTCCGCCATTGTTGAATATAATGAGCGAGCGCCAGGATACTTTGTAAGCGGCTCCCTCCCTCCCTCGCATGCACTCCGGAAAACTTTTTTATTGGTTATGCATGGCAGTGTCAAGCAGGAAGGTGCAGCCATTAGTTTGGACCAAGTATCAACAAGTAATATCCATTAATCGTGCTTGTTGACACGGTGATTAACACAAAGCAGAGGTGTGCTTAATGTAATGGTGTCATTCACTCCAATAAAAACGTCCTGTTTAAATGACACATTCTTGCCAGGAATCCATTAGTGTCTGTCTTCTCTGACATCCTGGCCCTCTCCACCTCCTCTTCTGAGCACCTCCATCTCGCTCGTTCTTTCTCTCGCTTTCTCGACTAATAGGATCTCTCAGTGTTTATTTACAGCTTGTGTTTTCTGTTCCCTCTTAGCCTCGTCGCCGCCCCGTTTCGCGGCGCCAAATTGTTTCTGCTTGGTGAAATGTCAACAGCGTTTGTGACATCTGTGTGCCAATTATGACGAGGATATTGCAGTCAGCCCATCAGAGGTAGCGGTAATAAATGCCCTTGTGCTGCCCTCCGTTTTTCTACTCGTGCAGTCATTACCGATCGCCACATGTTTCCGAGCACCTACATTACCCTTAGCTTGATGCGCCCCCCTCGCCCTCCCCTTTCAATCTCTCCTCCCAGATGAGTTCAACTTCAGATTGCTTTAATTGCTTTTTAGTATTTCCCATCAAGTGGAGGAGAAAAAAGTAAATGCATTTGATATAGTGTTTGCTCAGGTATGACCGTAAATGGGGGCTTTTTATGTGTTTTCTAAGGCTGTCATTTTAACACATTAATTAAGCGTGATTTAAATATAAAAACAAAAAATAACGTGATGAAAGCATGAACACAGTTACCTCCCCCTGACCCATATGTAAATTATGCATTTTAACATATTATTTTAAATCATTTTTGGTAAAATGTGCCAATCCTTTATGACAAGGTTCAAATTTTTAGCTTTAGTTATAGGCAAACAAATCATTAAGGATCATGAGCTAACAATGAAATATAATTTTACTGCATTTATTACAATTGGTTAAATTCTGCATGTATATTTTCAACATTTCAAGTGAATAAACGTGAAGTTGACATTAACCTGCATTAATAAATGCTGTAAAACATTATTTGTTGTTAGTTCATGATAACTAATGCATTAACTAATGTTAAAAAATGTAACCTTATTGTGAAGTGCGCTTTTTCCCCTGCCATCAGAACCACGTAATTTTTGAGTCAATTTTGCAAAAAATATACAAAAAATAGTGTGAATGGCCCTTTAATTTTGCATCAGATTGAAAAACTAGACTGAAAAATGACTATTAAATGTTTTTGTCTGCCATAATAATGATTTTCACAAACTGATTATTCATTATAATTGAATAAGTTGTTACTGTTAACATTAAGAAAATAAATGATTATTAAAAGAAAGTTGTTAAATATATTTGCATTTAAGTGCAATTTGTTTTGATGAACTAAATCAATTAAACATTTCTATTGATTGACAGAGCTAGTTCGTTTTTTTATCAACAATATCTTTACATTCTCCCCATCTTTCCCGTATATATTCTCTTTCCTTCATTTCTACATCATTCCCTTGCTCCCTCCGCCTCTCTTCTTTTCCTCAGGTGTGACAGTAATGATGAATATGTCTATTGAGACCCATCTTGTTAAAGAAAAGATGGCTTCCAAGGCAGTGGACTTAATGATGTATGGCTTCGTCAGCTATTTGCCTCTGAGGTCTGTGTTAACTAGAGTAGTAACATTCCTCTTCTGTGAAATAACATGCTGGAGCTGAGTGGAGGAGAGAGGACTTGAAAGAGTGAGGAAAAAGAGAGAGGAAATGAATCACGGAGGGAGGTCTATAGATGGAGAAAAAGAACGTCTACGTCATTGGATGTGAACAAGACATTATCCGACAGAATAGAGTGGATTTGCCGCAGTGTCTGCAATGCAACCGCATGGTTTCTTCTAACGACTGATGGCAAGAACTGAGGTTTGCAGATGTCTCTGAGGGGATGAGACTGTTGTCTGTGCCGTCGTTTAGTTACCGCAGTCCCAGAGCATGTGCAGCCCAATTTGGCTCAGGCTTTTCAGACTCTCCGTCAAGGACGGTGACCCATGCCGGTGACCTCCCTGCCCTGCTGCCCAGGCCTCGGCCTTCTCCCAATCCCGCAGGGCCTCGGATCGCCTAGGTCCAGGCTCATCACCGGGAACTGGGACTCCTGAGGTTGGCTGATGAGGTCTGAGCGGACGACAGGCTCATCGATTAGCTGTCCCTTCAGGGCTGATCTGTGGCTAACGGCCGGCTTGAGTCTCGAAACCACAGAAACACACTGCGTTCGCGCTCACTGCTATGACTGTCTGCCCGATCCCTGTTAACCAAGCTGAGGATATATCCTCAAGCCAGGTGAGCAGATTCATATCCTACCCATGAATAATCATGCCGGATTAAGTCCGACTGCATGGGATGATGACATACTCTATGGATGTCGCGGAGCATGACTGATGTCCTCTGTGATGCCATAAAAGTCTGGAACGAAAGTTCAGCCAGTGATTGGAAGTGTTAACTAAAACTGTTAACCATTTTGTTAATTCCATTCTAAAATATAACAGAAATATTATCAGGTGGAAAAACATACGTAAGCTATTTTTTTTTTTAAACTGAAAGGTTGAAGTACTAAAACTACTAAACATTAAATAAAAATAAAAATTAAAGCTAAATATAAATGCTGTTTGATAGGCAGTTTAATTGAATTAATAGTGATTCAACTGATGAATCAGAATCAGAATAATTTTTTGTGTGTTTTAAAGGTGCAATGTGTAAAAATTGAGTATCTAAACAGAAATGCAATATGATATCCATAACGATGTTTTTATTGGTGTATAAAGAACTTACTTAATAAATCGTAATGTTTTTATTACCTTAGAATGAGACATTTATATCTACATAACCACAGGCACCCCCTTCTATGAAGGTCAACATATTGTGACGTCATATTTCTACCGTAGCCGAACGCGAAAAAACAATGCTACGGAATGCGTTTCCTCACTACCTTGAAAGATAAGCAGCAGAAAACTAGAAGCTAGCAATACACACTGTGAGTAGTGACTTTTCCCTGGTCAGTGGTGTAAAATATGTAGTTGAATTGTTTCATGTAACTTAGTTCTTCTCCCTCACTGTGTTATGGCTTTGCTATGTGGGGATAAATGTGCTGATTAGTACTCTTGTCATTGACCATAAAGCAGTATGTCACAAGAATCACATCCACCACCGTCGATCGCGAAGAGTTTTCAAAAAATGCCTTTTGTGTGTAGTAAATGGTGTCTAAGGGATGCTGTTACAAATCATGTCATTTTTGCCGCGCGCACCTTTGGGCTCATGCGGACGCGTTGAGTTTAAACAAGGCTTTACGCTTTAACCAGCTCAGCCACAGTAACAGCTCATATTAGCCAGCTAAACTTTTACTACCCTGTTAGAAAAATATATATAGTTGCATAGTTTCATGTGGTTATTTTCACTATATTATGGGTTTGCTATGTGGGGAGAAAATGTGAGACAATCAGCTGATTATATTATATATGAAGACCCTTGATCCTCACCTGACTATGGCTTTGTAAACTTTATCCATGATGTGGTTTATAATGGACTGTGGTACAGAAACAGTGACAATGTTCCACACTCTTGGCTTACTCTGGCTATTCTCTACTATCTCAGACGACGATGTTTGTCCCGTTTTAGCCACCGTAGCTTCTTCAAAAGGGAGGGGTGAGCAGTGGGCTGAGCCCTTCGTGCAAGTCGCAACCGAACCTCTAGATGGTGCTAAAAAATACACACTGCACCTTTAATTAGTGTTTGAAGGCTAGAAAAGCCAATCGAATGCTTAAAAAGAGAGAAATTTGAACAGAAAATACGAGATGTTCATGGGAGTGAAGATGAATAACTCGTTCACTTAAAAGATTCATTCCCATATTATGTTGAAGTTTCTGGTTTTCAGAGGTGCTATATGTGAGCCAGACAGATTTCAGCACTCTCTTTGTAGAAATCAAGCTAATCACGGGCAGTATTTAATGGTGCTTTTGTGTGGCCTGACTAATGAAACAACTCTGTAGGAGATGATGGCCTTGCTGATGTGAGTGGGGAAAAGGAGGGGTGGCCCAGCTGTATTAAAAGCTTGATTGTAATCATTTAAGCATCAAACGCTAATGTCGGGACATTTCTTACCCTCATGGAGAAGCATAATTATACGGCGTGACCTCTACTGACCCGTTAGCCTGCTCTCAGCATCAGAATGCCTGTCCCACGTCACTGATGGCGAAGAGAGCATTTTGTAAGATGGATTAGATGGCTCTTTTAAAGGCCATGGCCTCTTTAATATTGTTTGAGGAGGGAAAATGAGAAGGGAGAGAGCAGGGTGGGATGTATATGAAAGTAGACAGATAGATGAAATAGGAAAAGCTAAATGCAAGGCAATCGACAAAACAAAATCCCCCTTTTTAAAGAAAGGGCGGGGGGGGGGGGGGGGGTGAGGCATTCTCATGCTAGAGAGGATTTAATTGGACAGAAATATTAGGGCCATAAAACTCTTTTTGATTTCCTTGAACTATGAAAATTAGTACTTTTACCTCTGATGTATTCATCATTTTCATTCGAGCACTAAGTGCACTGAACAAAACCAATGGGAAAATTGAAATCAGGCCCAATTGGCAAGTCAAAACAATAATGTGCCGTGCGATTCTCTAAAAGATCTCCTCCCATCAATGTCTGGCTGTTTGTGTTGATGTTTATCAAAGAGCATCACTGGACTGAGCCTGTACTCGGGTAATGTGCCGAGCTGTCACAATGACGGACGCGTCATGAAAAGCCCTGCCGTCCTTTTCTCTTTTGGAGAAGTCCATCAAAATTTGCGAGGCTTTCTCGAAAGGCACTGACAGAACAACAAAGTGTCTGAGACGTGTCGGGTGGCGGGTGTCTGTGGAGATAATGTCTCGTCAGCTTGTTGACAAATGAATTTTCTCTCGGTCAAATGGGGGGTATTTGCATATCAGACTGTTGATGCGGTGCTCTCGGACTGTAGGAGATCCGATGCAGGTACTTCTTTCTGATCTGTGTAAATTAAATTATTGTGTTTGGTCACGATAAAAAGTAGTTTAAGTGGTTTGTATAATGGGCAAAACACACATTTGAACACTTAAGCTGCACATTTGAATTTCAATGTACAAATGGGTAAATAACTTGGTTTAAAAATCTTTTTAAAAATTGTATTATGATTTAAAATAACTGTTTTCTATTTAAATATAACATTTACATATATAATGTAATTTATGTGTTGATAACAGTTGTGCTGTTTATTATTTTTGAGGAAAACATGATACAAGATTCTTTGATGGAAAAATTACATCTTTTTTTGATACAGAAAACTTTGCAACATTATAAATGCATACTGTCACTTTAATGCGCCCTAGCAGAATAAAATGATTACTACTATTTTTTTTTAATCATACTGACCCCAAACTTACAACGGAATGAACTGGATTTGATTTAATATTTTGTAATACATTTTTAAGCATTAAGTATCCAAATACTTTTCAATGTACTTGAATGTGAGTTTGTTGTGAAGGACACCTATGTAGGCAACACCCATCTCTCCAGCAAAACATCCAATAGCGTGAATAAACTGTCAGGAAATTCAAGTTCCGGTCTGAAATAAGGGAAATTAGCACCAGCTCCATGCGATAAATCTCGTGGTGAGCACCAGAGAAATTGTGATGGGCGAACGAAAGATGCACAGAGGCCTCGTCACAGCGTGCAAAGCAGACTGACACAGATTTTATTAAACAGTTGATCGGCTGGCCTAATGCAAAAAGAAAGATTTGCCTGGCTCTAAATGGGCTGTAATGCCAGGCAAGCGGGTGGACCTGTCTGTGGCTCTGCTGATGAAGATTAGCTGACTTCTTAGATTAGGTGAGCGTGGTTCGTGCAGTCAACTGAAGTGGCAAGACAATAACCCGGTGTTAATTGAGCGTAACCGGATCCTGCAATTGGCCTCCACTTGTGTGTACTTCTCTCTGGCACCTGTGTGTTTGTATGAAGCAGGTATCTAATGAACAGCCCATGCATGAGGTTTTTTCTTTATTTGACCACATTCTAAGACAAATGGCCTCTTCTTCTTAGAGCGAATGAAGACAAACAACACAATTTGCCCAAAGTAATGAAGAAAACTGCAGCCCACAGAATATTTAAGTGTTATATTGCTGTCTGTTTTTGATGTTGAACCACAGCAACAAGCAATTTATTTTGAAATAATATGAGAATTTAAAATTATTCTTGTTTTTCCATCCATAGGAAAATTACTGTAAAAAACATTTTGTGCGGCATATGATGGACCTCAACATGATGGGTATATTCAGGAAATATTCAGATTAACTATAAATGTAGTAGAAAAGCCTTAAGGTAGTTCAGATTAAGGCCAAATTCATTTTTACTTGAGGTAGCCTCTTTTTTTTTTAACCTAAAATGATCAGATGTGATTGTAGTTCAGTGGTTAAACCATCCAAACTATCTAAAGTCAGCAGTTTAAACCCCAGAAGAGCTGATTTATTATTTCGTTCCTGATCATTACTACCCTTGAGCAAGGCATGAAGAGATGTACTACAAGCCACTTTTGGATACAAAAGTGTCTATGCCAGTTTTTGTGGTAGGGTGGTAGTTACACAAATGGGCTTGTGGTTCAGAGGTTGTTGTTCAAAATAACTAGAAATTTCACCTGAAAGAGGATTCAATATGTCAATACAACTGTGCTAGCAATCTGAAGGTTGCCAGTTCAGACCCCTGAAGGGTGTTTCATGGGCTGGAGAGTTTTTGTCTATATATCACTGTTTTGCCCTTGAGCAATGTACTTCTTGCTCCAGGGAGACGGTACCTGTTGTAAACATATTGATGTAATTTGGATAAGAAAACATCTACCCAAACCATCTTTCGGTGGTAGGGTTGTGGGCTTTAATCCGAAGGTCATTTTTCAAACCCCAGTGGTCTTGATTCATGAACCAGAGAGTTGCTGGGATTCCCTATCGCCATTGTGCCCTTGAGCAAGACACGATAGTGGGGTTAAGCGGGACCGTCCTTGTAGTAAATGTACTGCAAGATGCTTTGGATTCAAGACAACCTTTGAGTTTTAAGGGGCTTAAAACATATGCAGAGATACATACATTTAAGTACTGTGAAATGTTTAAGAAAACTGAATCGGAATTAACTAACCTCTGGTTGCACAGCTGACAGGCAAAGCAGTCCAGGTGATAGACGTTCTCCTTGGCTCTCATGACCATCTCAAATGCTGGGATGAGTTTACTGCAAGCCGCACAGTTCCCTGTCACACCGAACAACCTGACAGATTGAAAAATATGTAAAGTTTGAGGGTCAGAATCATTTGATCAACCATATCAATGTTCAAGGGGTGATTTATAAACAAATCACTCGGTTGATTTTAGTTATTTAAAAACATACAGAGTGTAGTTGGAGTCACAAACAATTGACTCATATGAACTGATTTTTTTTTTATTGAATAAAAAACATAAAAGCAGCCATTCACAAACAAATGACTTAAACTATTGCTTTCCTGTGACTCAAATAGTAGAGCGTTGATGCTTGCAACACCAAGATTCGATTCCCAGGGAAAGCAAAAACTGATAAGAATGTGAACAAATGCAGGGGAACTCACTTTGAATAAAAGCATCTGGCAAATGGATAAATGTAAATGTCAAACTCTTTAATGAATCATCAAAAAAAAAAAACTATTATTCTTTCATAGGAGTTTATACAATACTTTTATAAATTATTAGTGTCAACACAAGAAATTTGAACTTGGTATCAATTGAGCAACGTTCATGCAGCAACAGGGTATGGTTGTCAGAACCTCTGTGTGAATGGACCCGGACAACTCGTCGTCACATCATACTGTGCGAGAGAGCTGCTCTGTACTGCACAAACGTGTGTGTACCTTGTGTTGCAGGTTTTCATATGTGGTTTGCTGTAACTTACAGCGACAGAGAGATGAACTGTGTGTAATCTGAAGGGTTCAGAAGCAGTCACTGTTCTCCACTGGAGCTGCTTGTCAGTTTCGTGTTCTACGCTCAACTCAAATGTTGCGCGCTGCACCCAGATATAAACGCTGCTGTCGGTTAATAAAGATTTAACAGATGAACTCCACTGGAGTCTTGTTGTGCCAAAAGTTATAGGACTTTTCAGTTTTATGGACATTGCGATCTTTAATATTACTGGTCACTGTCGCTGTGGTCCTGGTAAGAGAATCCGGGCTTGACTCCCGTTGCACGTCATAGAGACACTACTGTATTATTTGCTGTGTGAACTGGATATTTAGTAAATGCGGTTGTTAATCCCCAAAAACGACGGTGCGAACGTAGCCTTGGTATCCACCAAAAAGTGTTTGTGTTGATTCATACATCTGAAACTTTTTGCTGTACATTTTTTAAATTAATATTTTTTGTCACCACAGTAGAAGGTTCACTCTGTAATTCACAGCATTAGCTGAAAAACTTATTTCAGTTGAATACACAAAATTCATTTCATATGAACGCAAAACTGACATTATCGCTGAAATGTTCCCAGTTGAACAAAGCGAATCGAGCTGAATAAAGAGCTTGTAAATAGAAATGGCAAACTGTATCGATACCAAGTCCTACTCCAAATTTCCCATTTCCAATGACGCCTCCTTTATATTTTGGCTTGAAAAAGACCGCTCAATGGATAAAAGCATAAAAGCTGAGTGTGACGTGACCATCATGAAGACGGCCGGGCCGGGTGAGGTTAACGCCACAGAGCGGCTGCCCAGAGATGAGCCTATTATCTTCCTGCCTGCTCGCGGGACATTACGGAGAGGATTCATTAGGGATTCATGGCTGTTACTCTACTGCGACCTAGACCAAGTAAAGGGGGGTAGGGGGAAAAGAAATATCTGATAACGAAATCATATAACAAAATAACCTATTAGGCGGACTTCTTCAGGCACTTTTAGCCGTCGTTGTTAAAATGATAAAACTGCATGCCACTCTCCGGCTCTGTAAGAGATCGCAATCTGATAAATGATCTTGGGGCCTGGGATATGCAGGGTTGTTTATTAACCTTCAGAAACTATGTTTCCCACAGGCAAATAAAAGAGCTGAGCAGATAGATTGTACTCTCATGAATACCTACAAAATTAAGGGCTACTGTGAACGCACCTTGAGACAATGAAGGATATCTCCAATAGCATTCCAGGTAAGACGAGAAAGGAAACGAGACTTTGTCCTGTGGATTGGTGTCGATTTAATTAAAGGAATTATGTCTTTCACTTTGAGCTGTCTAAATATAGACACGTTCATGTTATCACGTCTCCCCTATTTTCAAAAAAGTGCATAGCCAGAAGGCCTCTGCATGAAACGATGAGGACTATTTTTTTCCACTCCCATCTTGCAATTAAATGTATCACAGATCTGCACGTAAATAGAAAAAGGATGATAGATTCACTGTTCAACTCGCTTATTGAAAGAAAATGTTTATGCCGCATGTATTTAATGCATGTTCTGGGAAGAAAAGATGCATTAATGCATCTGCTGGATTTCAGCTGATGAATGATAGATGATATCCATATGAAAAAATGATGCTTGAAGGTCTTTTTGTCATCAGGTTGAATCAAACCAGTATTGGGTTTGCCACTCTAGCGAGCTGTGAGCTCAAAACGTCTCATCTCGTGCAAATTTAAAGTAACCAATACCTTTCCTGGAATAGGACAGTCATGCCTTTTTGCTTTGAGAATTTAAGGACAGAGGTCTGTGCTTTGCAAATACACTAGGCATTGAGTGAAAACGGCTGCTCTCGCCTGAGAATCTGGCTGTGTAATACATGCGCTGCACAGAGAAATCAATAGGAGTTTTTATTTAAAGAACCAACTGTGTTTTTTTTTCAATGAAATGGATTGTAATCCATCAGAAAGTAGCTGAGAGTATCTTGACATACAATGGGGGATTTTCTTTCTTCCTTTTGACTGCTGATTTTAGCTATTTTCTTATTTTAAAAATGGCATGTGTATCCAAAGTTCAGAATTGTGGAATAATGTTTATTAGCAAGCAAAATGTAACTGACAAAAAACAGCATTTATTTGTAGATATTATTTGTAACATTGTGCATATTATCTTTACGGACACTTTTTATTCATTTAAAGTATCCTTTCTGAATGAAAGTTTTAATTCCATAGCCCTCAATCGGGTCATGGGGTCTATACGACCCCAATCGACTTTTACTTAATAAAATAAAGGTTCCCTTCATCTCAGTGGAATAAGATTTTGTGACTTTTCATACATTATCTATCTATACACACAACAAACTGGGCTTGATTCGGTTGTTCTGAAGGTATGTAAAAAAATGTTTACACTTCTGGTCTTCGGGGTCAACATGACCCCACATTGAAATGAATGGGAAATGTGAAAAAAACTTAATATATTTTGACGTGTCAAAAAAAAAAAAAATAAAATAAAATTCGGCATAAATCCGATTTTTTTTACACAGAAATGAAGGCCTAGTACTAGAGCATAACTGCAATGTATCATAAAAAATAATATTTCATATGCAAGCTAATGGTGTAGTTGAGGAATTGTGTTGTATATGGATACAAAAGTACTTTATATCTCCAAAAACAGCATTAATGAATAGGTGAGAAGTAAACAAAAAAAGATATATTATTTGTATGATTTAAAAATTTATATTTTTTGTACAATTACTTAATCAATTTTTGGGGTCGTATAGACCCAGAAGTGTAAACAGGAAACGAAGACCATTTGAAGCTTAAAATAACACTTTTGAATGGCAGTATAGATAAATAATATAATATACCTATATATTGGTCGACCACTAGTGGATAACTTCCATAGAAATGATAAAGAGGGAACAGTGTGGTAACCATCCCTCTATACAGAAGACTCTCAGAGAGCTCTGTTTCTCAGCCCAACAGGAAAAGGGGAGGGGCGGTAAGATGGATGAAGCCCTACCTGCCACTTGTCTTTCACCGGTCTGCCAGTTTGATACCACAGACGCTAATGGCTCTCAAGGGAGGCGGCAAATTAAGCGTGCTTGGCTTGTAATGAATTTGGAGGCACATGTTCTCTAAATGCAGTCTGTAAGAGAAGGAACTGAGTGTCCAGAGACAAATGCAGAGCGGCCTTCCCATTTATGTTGTGTAGGGTGAAGAAAACGTTCCATGGTTCAACTGAGTTTATCGCTCAGTCCAGTTTTCCATCAATAGCCAGTGGCTGTGTAATATTTTAATAGTATTATGGAGGAAATCAAACTCACTTGGACATAAATGCTTACAAAATAGCATTTATATTTTATCAGGCTGAAGAGGCAGCTTGAAATTAAAATTCATAGCGGCTCTAGATTCATAAGTTAAAAGAGAATGCGCAATCAGTACCACCTGATTGGACACAAAAGGTGTTGGAGGTGCACAGCGCCTTTTCACAGTTGAATGGCACCTATTTGATGAGAGGAAAACAGACACCAATTAAATTATTCCACAAGGCTTTATCCTAGTGGTCGCAGCAGCGAGGCTCAAGCGTGCAGTTTTACTGTAATCATTAGACAGTGCCCCAATGGAAAATGCATGAGCGATGTCACCTCAATATCCTCATCCAGCTACACAAAATCCTTGTAAATTACTCTCTATCAAACGACACCCCTCTGGGACTCTAATATCCAAGTCATTCAGATAACACAAAGAAATGAGACACACCAATTTGGTCCAAACTATGCCATTTTGGGACCCCTTTATACCAGGGGTCCATGGAGAAGATAATTAATTTTTCATGAAATTTCTAACTATTAAGTAATTACTTCTGTAAGTAATGACCCAGTGCAATCAGGGTTGTGATCAATTCACAATTGAATTAGTATTATCAGTTTAATTTGAATCGAATATGCATCAAGGTGGCAAACATGATGCAGCACTGGAACTGGTTTGAATACCTGCGGTGTATGAAATGCACCTATAGAGATTTGAATTTAGTTGTATGTATGTATACATTGCCTGTGTTGAATTCAGGCAATTCAGCTTCCTGCCAATTCAAATTTAATTCAACTTCCAGTAGGGTGTGGCCAATTCAATTAAAATCCATGCTCCTGAATTGAAACAGAGCTCGAATTCAACCCTGGTAGATACTGTTTTTAATGAAATATATTATGGAAAATATATATATATATATATATTTTTAAGGTTTCTGGCTCAGAGTCTGGGCAGGGGGTCCCAGAGCCTGTACAGATTGAATTTAAAAAAGTAAATAGGATTTTGAACAAAGCAACGCATAACGTTTATCTTAAACGTCAGGCCTGTATTCTTT